TTTCTTGCTCTGAAATCTGCTTTGTCTGAAATTAATATAGCTACTCCTACTTTTGATTAGTGTTAGCATAGTATATATTTCTCCATTCCTTTACTTTGAATTATGTCTTTAAATTTAAAGTGAGTTTCTTATAGACACCAAATAGTTTGATCTTCTTTTGTTATCTGCTCTGACAGTCTTCATTCTTTTATTGTTGTTGTTTCATTTTGGTTATTTTGCTTGATACATGATTATATAAGAAGTATATTGCAAGTAATGGCCAAGACATCAACATTCTTAGTCACTAGAGTACATGGGGCAATCTATGTCTGTAATTGGTGTATTTAGACCAATCATATTTAAAGTGATTATTAATAATTGGATAATTACTTATAATATTTATAAGTGTTTTCTATTCATTGACCTTTTTAAAAAAAATCTCTTCCACTCTTGTTGTATTCTCTGGTATTAACTGACTATTTTATATGATTCTCTTTCCTCTCTTCTCTTAGTATATTAATTTTATTTATTTAAAAATTTTACACGGTTGTCCTGGAGTTTGCAATATGCATTTACAACTTATAAATTCACTTGCAAATAAATCTAGACCATTTCATGTGTAGTGCAAGTATCTTTCAGCAGAATATTTTCAATTCCTCCCTCTTATCCCTTATAACATTATTGTCATTTATATTATTTGCCAATACATTATTATTATTTTGAATAGAGTATTATTTGTAAGACTGATTAAGAATAAGAAAAAAATACATTTACCTTAATGTATTCCTTCCCTAACCTTCTTCTTTTGTGTATATCCAAGTTTCTGACTTGGATTATTTTCCTTCTCTCTATAGACCTTCTTTTAACATTTTGTATAAAGCAGATCTCTGGTATGATAACAAATTCCCTCAACTTTTGTTTGAGAAAGTCTTTATTTCCCTCTTCACTACTAAAAGGAAATTTCACTGGATTCAGAATTCTAAGTTGGTGTTTTTTGTTTCTTTTCTTTCAACACTGTAACTATTTCACACCACTTTATTCTTGTTTGCCTGGTTTCTGAAGAGAAGTTCAGTGTAATTCTTATCTTTGTTCCTGTATAGGTGAGGAGGATTTATTTCTCTCTGATTTTTTATTTTTTTTAAAGATTTATTTATTTATTTGAGAGAGACAGCGAGAGAGCATGAGACGGGGAAGGGTCAGAGGGAGAAGCAGAATCCCTGCTGAGCAGGGAGCCTGATGTGGGACTTCATCCCAGGACTCCAGGGTCATGATCTGAGCCGAAGGCAGTTGCTTAACCAACTGAGCCACCCAGATGCCCCACTCTCTGATTTTTTAAAAAGATTTTCTCTTTGTTTTTGATTTTGCAGCTTGAGTATAATATGCATAAGTGTAGTTTTTTTTAATATTTATTCTTCTTAGTAATCTCTGAACTTCCTGAATCTTTTGTTTGGTGTCTCTCAATTTGGGAAAATTTTCAGTCATTGTTACTTTAAATATTCTTCTGTTCCTTTTCCTCGTTCTTGTTATTTTGGTATTCCCATTACATTTATTCTACACCTTTTGTAATTGTTGCACAATTCTTCAATATTCTGTTCTTGTTTTTTTTTTAATCTTTTTTTTTTTTTTCACTTTTCTTCCATTCTGGGAAGTTTCTATTTATATGCTTCAATATGTGACTCATGAAAGTGCAAAAGTGATAGGAAAGAGCAGCCTGGAGCCCTGGTGACGCCCCCTCTTCAAGAGTGAGTGTGGGAGGGGGCGGGGGCTGGAGTGTTGAGGGGGCAGGTTTAGGACACCTCCACTTAGTCAGCATGGTTAGAGATGAAGAGGGTCTCATTGGCTGCAGCCCTGGCCTGACTACATGGGGTGTACTTTGATTGGTAGGCAAAGCTGTTGGCCAGGGCTCATTTGATGTGCTCCTCCTGAGCAGCCTTCAGGTTCTCCTTCTTTCCATCATAGGCCTTCAGGGCAGAAGCTTGCAGGGCTCAGCCACAGGAGAAAGTCAGGGCCCACGGCTTCAGCAGGGAGCACTTGTTGATGGTGTTGAGGTTGATGGATGCTTCCTCCTCCTGGGAAGGTGATCCAGAGACTTAGTTGACTTTGTCTGGGCTACTGATGAGCCCATCAAAGCTATTCATTTTGTTGAAGTGTTTTTGATTTTTAGCATTTACTTTTGCTTCTTAAAATTTTCATCTCTCTGCTTATATTTCCCATGTATTTTTTATTCAAGTATAATTAACATACAGTGTTAATATTCCCATGTATTCTTGTACGTTTTCCATTTTCTTAGTATACAAATTATAGTTATTTTAAATTCCCGTCTGATAATTCTAAAATATATGTTATATCTAATTCTGGTTGTGATGCTTGCTTTATATCTTTGGACTGTGTTTTTTGCCTTTTTCATGCCTTGTAATTTTTTTTTTGAAACCGGACATTGTGCATTGGCTAAAAGGAACTCAGGGAAACAGGCTTTTAGTAAGAAGCTTTACTTTTATCTTACTGGGAGTTAGGTTATATTTACTGTTTGCTGTAGCTGTTGTATTAGTGATGGTAATTTCTTGTTCCCCTGTTATCTTTAGTGTATCCTAAAGAATCCAAATTCAATTGGGTCTGAGGACTTCAGTTTTCTCAGTTGTAGTCCACTATTCTTATACAGAGTCTTATTGTGGTAGTGGTAAAATATGTAAGGAGGAGAAATATATTATTGGATTTCAGTGTCTTAATGAGCCTGTGTCCTTGGGCTGTGACTTTCACAAGTGATTTTTAGCTTTTTTCCCTCTTACATGAGAGAGGAAGGCTAGAGGGAGCTAGAGTTGAGTATTTCTCTTTCCCCACAGGAAATGTTAAAGAGGCTGGGGAAGTGTGTTTCCCTTACCTCACAGCAATGATTACAGGGTGCTGGATTTTAATATATCCTTTCCCACACATTAATTAGGCTCTGGTAAAACAAAGTAGTTTAACTCTGGTAAAGTAGTTTCCTTCGAGGATAGGCTTTTGTTAAGGAAAACAGAACACTCTGGGCATATATTGAAATTGGTACTTTTCTTGTCCCAGAAACATGAAGGGAATTTTCTCAGGTCTTCATCCTGAGAACCTAAAAGTGCTCCTGGAGTTGACTCATGAAAGTGCAGAGACGTACTAAGAATTGGCCTCTAGGGTTTTTTTTTTCCATGAATAATTAAGAATTTATTTTAAATTATTATGAAATATTCATTATTATTTTTTTGCATTTTTATTATGTTATGTTAATCACCACACATTACATCATTAGTTTTTGATGTAGTGTTCCATGATTCATTGTGTATAACACCCAGTGCTCCATTCAATATGTGCCCTCTTTAATACCCATCACCAGGCTAAACCATCCCCCCACTCCCTTCCCTTCTAGAACCCTCAGTTTGTTTCTCAGAGTCATAGTCTCTCATGGTTCATCTCCCCCTCCAATTTCTCCCCTTTCATTTTTCCCTTCCTACTATCTTCTTTTTTTTAACATATAATGTATTATTTGTTTCAGAGGTACAAAGGTACAGATTCAACAGTCTTACACTATGGTGAGCACTGTGAATTGTGTAAGGCCTTTAGGGGTTTTTATCTCTCAAGCTGGGTCCACACTGAGTCTCCAGTAATTTAAATGTTTCTACCAGACTCTAGCTGTGGCTTCTGCTCCCTATAAGCTCTGACTCTCTCTATCTGCCTATCTCTCCAGTTTTGGGGATAGCTCTGCCCTGTGAATTCAATCTCTGATGGATTTAAAAGAGTTGTTGATCTTGCTTTGAAGAGGAATGACAACTTCTGAACTCTTTCCATGTCAGACCAGAAGCCAGAAATCTTCCAAGTTCTCCTGCTTTATGAAGTAAGTCTACCTTAACCAGTCCTTTTTTGACTTCTCATAACATAATATTTATAACTCTCTTGGCATTTATTTATTTACCATTGCTTAACATTCCATTTTTTATGGGACCCTTCACATCTGAGTTTATAATATCTTTAAAATAAGACACCATAACTTATTTTGTATGCTTAATAACTGGTGAATTTCATTAAGATTTAAAACATCATATTAAAATAGCTCAGAATCCCTCTGTTCTGTTGTTTTAATCCTAAGGTTTAGTGAGAGAATGAAAATTTCAAGGAAAGAAATAATGGAAGTTTTCTCTCAGATTCCTGCTTATAAGAAAAGTAGGATTATAAAGAAAAGAAAAGTAGGATTTTAGTCAAGTAATGTATATAAGACACACTTTCCTGCAGAAAGACTCTGAGTTTTTGAAGTTCCTAAAAACATCATCTAAACCTGAATTTGTGTACATTAGCTGAAGTTTGATTACTGAGTAATAGTAACACATAATTTATACGGTACTTACTATATGGAAGTCACTAACAGCTTTTTTTTTTATTCTTAGCACTCACAATAACCTTACTTAATAAGTATATTTTTTAAACCATTTTTTTAAATCTTATTTATTTATTTGACAGAGAGACACAGTGAGAGCAGGAACACAAGCAGGGGGACTGGGAGAGGGAGAAGCAGGCTTCCCACAGAACAGGGAGCCCAATGCAGGGCTTGATCCCAGGACCCTGTGATCATGACCTGAGCCAAAGGCAGACGCTTAATGACTGAGCCACCCAGGTGCCCTTAATAGGTATATTTTTATTCCTACTTTGTAGTTGTGGACACTGAGACTTGGAAAAGTTAGGTGAGTTCTCCAAGGTCAAACAGTAATATGGAATTCAAAAGATGTGGATTTCAAACCCAAGTTTATGTGACTATAGACAACATTCTTAACTACTCTACTACACGGTCTCCCATGTATCTCTACTCTGCTACATGCTTTCTCAATCTATCTTTACTCTCTAAAACCTACACTTTTAAATGAATCCCTCTCAATCTACCCTTATGACTTCAAATTGTTAAACCTTATGGAAGAAAAATACACTAGCCCTGCTCGCCCACAGCATCCAGTGGGTCTTGTGTAGTATTTTTCTCAACACACCAAGATTTGAAAGGACAGTATACATACTATTGGTCAGTAAATGGTTCTGCTGCAGTGGATTGAGGGTAGGAGCACCCCCAAGACTTGGCTGGCTAGCCAGGGCTGCATGAGCAAGTCCATGTTGGGGTCCAGGAGCAGCAAGAGAAGATTGCATCTTATCCTTATCCCAGGAGTATTCACTTCCACCTGAAAAACATTCGTATGAACAGATTGCAATTTGGCAACTTTCCATGAGAAAGCTTTTTGAAAATTCTCTTTCAGGGGTAAAATTATTAAACTTACATCTTAGAAAATTATTATTAAACATAAGTAACTCATTTTACAATGGTTTCAAAAACTTTCAATAGCCTTGGATTTAAGCTGCTTCTGAGAAAACTAAACAACTCTAATGATATAGCTACAAGTAGTCTAAACAAATCAGGAATCATAATGAATAGTTTTTGAAAGCACTAACTTGTTGAGAACATTAACTGACCACTATTGCCTCTCATTCTGGCAGCACCAATGTGCTGCCCTGTTCGCTAGCAAAGGAACAAAGACACTGGCTGAGTGCAGCAAACCTTGGTGCTGGCTTTTTGCTGTGATTTACCATAAACTCTGAATGACTGCATGTTCATGCAGCTGCTTTACTGGGACAAACCAGCAAATGGCAAAAGTGCAGTGACCCTCCCCTAGAGGATCACTGCAGGTCTGCACCATGTGTGTCCCTAAACTTTGGAGTTTTGAAACCCAGTTGCGTGCCTGAGATAAAACACAAGAGTACTATGCCACCTGGCAGGCAGACAACTCAGACATAGATAAGGTGAAGACAAGGATCTGATGGAAGCTGGGGACACAAGAGGGGTGATTATTCACTCTCCTGTGAGGGCTTCCTGAAGAGTGATGGGTTCAAACTCCCTGCTCCAGGGAGGAGAGAGGGGAACAAAGCCATTCCCCTCCCCTGCACCGCAGTACAGACCAATTTTGGTGAACAACACAGTGCCCTGTAGTGGAGACTGGAGCTGCTTACTTTAAGCCCCGCCCCCCCATGCCCTACAAGTGTATGTCTACTAGGACAGATTGGCATGAAAATCAACCCAACAGACCCCTTTTCCAGAAGACCAGCACAAACTCCTCACACACACCAAGTCTATTGATCATAAAGTGATGCAAAGCTTCAGCTATAGGGGAAATAGAATCCAGCTTCTTTCCTTTGATCCAGCTTCTTTTGACAAGCAGACCAAATACACCTAGTTAAAACTTGCCACACAGTGGACAAGATAACATCTCCCATTACGGGCAAGGGGAAACTCTGTAGAGGACTTACCTGAGGATAGGAGCAACCAAAACACAACTGCAGAGTGCATATAAGACTTCCACCCTATTTTTTGGACCTCTTCTTAATATAGCCATTACTCTCAGGAGCACGAAAACAACAGGCTTTTCTAACAATCATACACACACACACACAAAACCGTGACCTAGACAAAATAACAAGATGTAGGAATTCACCCTTAAAGAAAGTACAGGAAGAAGTAATGGCCAAGAATTTAATCAATACAGATATTAAATATATGAAACAAATGTTAAAACAACAATTATAAGGATAGTAGCTGGGCATGAAAAAAAAGCATAGAGGACACTAAAGAATCCCTTACTGCAGAGATTTAAAAAAAAAAAAAAAACCTAAAAACTAGTCAGGCCAAAATTAAAAATTCTATAACTGAGATGCAAACCCAACTGGATGCCAGGACAATAAGGATGGAGGAAGCAGAGAAATGAATCACTGATTTAGAAGATAAAATTATGGAAAATAATGAAGCTTAAAAGAAGAGGGAAGGAAAGGTATTGGATCACAAATGTAGATTTAGGAAACTCAGCAACTTCTTAATGCATAATAACTTTCATATCATAGGAGTTCCAGAAGAAGAGAAAGAAAAAGGGGAAGAAGTTTTATTTGAGCAAATTATAGATGAAATTTTGCCTAATATGAGGAAGGAAACACAGCAAAATCCAAGAAGCACAGAGAACTCCCATTAAATTCAACAGAAGCCAGCCATCACCAAGACATGTCATAGTCAAATACACAAAATACACAGGAAAGGAAAGAATCCTGAAAGCAACAAGGGAAGAAAAGTCCTTAACATACAAGGAAGACAGATCAGTTTTGCAACAGATTTGTCCACAGAAACCTGGCAGTCTAGAAGAGAAATGCATGATATATTTAATGTACTGAATGGGAAGATATGCAGCCAAGAATACTTTATCCAGCAAGCCTGTCATTCAGAATAGAAGGAGCGATAAAGCGTTTCCCAGACAAACAAAAAGTAAAGGAGTTTATGAGCACTAAACAAGCCCTTCATGAAACATTGAAGGGGTCTCATTGAGTGGGGAAAAAAGACCAAAAGCAACAAAGAATAGAAAGGAACAGAGAACATCACCAAAACTACCAGCTATACAGGTAACACAATGGCACTAAATGCATATCAACAATCACTCTGAATGTAGATGGACTCAATGCTACAACCAAAAGACACAGGGCATCAAAATGGATTAAAAAAAACAGAACCATCTATATGCTGCTTATAAAAGACTCATTTTAGACCTAAAGACACCTGCAGAGTGAAGGTTAGGGAATGGAGAGTTCAGATAGGAGAGGGAAGTAAAATGGCAGAGGAGTAGGGAGACCCTGGGCTTGCCTCTTCCCACAAATACAGGTAGATCAACATCAAATTATTTTGAACAACTAGGATATCAATCTGAGGATTAAGAAAACATTTTGCACAATTGGAGGAAGAGAGAGAATGTGGCAGATGCAAGGTTCAGAGACATGAATTGGGGGAGAGGAAAAACCATGGTGCTGTGGAGGGGACGGAGCCCTTTTTGGGGGAGAGAAGTCAGGAAGAGAGGGAGAGAGTGGGAGAAAGAGCAGGGCATAGGGCTCATGAAAGACACTGTGGTGTGGGGATCCCCTGGGTCACAGTGAAAGAGAATATTCCCCTTCCTGAAGTACATTTAGAAGAGGGTATATTGCTTCTCCAAGGACAAAAGACCCATCCAGTGCCATCGAGCAAGTGTTCAACAGCAGGAGACAAAGGCATACTCAAAGGGCAGATAACCTAGTTGCAGCGTTTCACTATGGTTCACAATAGACTTCAGGGACCTGCACAGCCATGCAATTGCTTTTCTGGGACAGAATGGTGTCAGGTGCATGTTGTGAGCCTCTCACAGGGGAGGGGAGTGGGTCTGCACTTTGCCAAGTCTTTAAGATTTGGAATTTTGAATCCCACTCAGCAAGCAGAGATAAAACACAGAACTGTGACACTGGGCAAGCTGACGACCCAGGCACAGACAGGTTGAGGGCAGGGATCTGACAAAAGCCTGGGGCATAAGAGGGAAGATTGTTTGCTGTCTTTGAGGGCCTCCTGAACAGTGGTGGCCCCAAGTTCCCCTCCCTGGAGGTGAGTGCAGGTTGACAAGATTTTTCACCCCCCCCCCCAATCAGGCCAACAGTGTGGTCAGACTTCAGATAAAAAAAACAGCACCCCCAGTGGAAGCTGTAGTCACATACACCAAACCACGCCCCCAGTGCCTGGCAGGGGCATCTTTACTAGGGCAGGTCTAACTGTAAGCCAGGGCAGCAAGCCTCTCCCCCAGAAGACAAATCCAGGGCACCCACATGTACCAAGTCTACTGATCATAGAGTGCTCCAAAGCATCAGCTTCAGTTATGGTAGACATAGGACCAGACTTTTATTTTTAATTCTTTTTAATTCATTTTAATTTTTTATTTTTAAATTTTTTTAATTTACTTTTTTTCTTTTTTCTTTTTTCTCTTTAGAATCAGGCTTATAGTTTTTTTTGTTCATTTGTTGGTTGGTTTGTTTAAACTCTCTTTTTGGAATAAGATTCTTTTTCTTCCCTTTTCTTCTGTCTTTGTTTTTCTTTGGCATCAGGCTTATAGTTTTTTGTTTGCTTGTTTTTTTTTTTCCCTTCCCTTTTCACTTTTCTTGGATTAGGCTTTTTTTTAAGGCTTATATTAACAAACAAATCAAAGCACCCCTAGTTAAAAGTCCAAACACTTCCCACTGCAAGCAAGGAGGAATTCTGCAGAGGACTGAACCTGTAGGAAAGACCAGCCAAAGCACAAAAGCAGAGTACACACAGCATGCACCAGAAACACTTCCTGAAGTGCCAGGACTGGACAGTGTATGACCCCTTATTAATATAGTATTACTCTCAGGAGCACGAAACATAACAAGTTTTCATAATACACAAAAGACAGAAACTTAGACATAATGACAAAATGGAGGAATTCTCCCCAAAAGAAAGATCAATAAGAAATCACAACCAGCGACTTGCTCAAAACAGTTATAAGCAATATACCTGAACAAGAATTTAGAACAACAGTCAAAAGAATACTAGCTGGGCTTGAAAACAGCATAGAGATACAAAAGAAACCCAGGATTCAGGGATTAAAAAACCTGAAATCTAGTCAGGGCTGAAATAAAATGCTATAAGTGAGATGGAAAACCATCTAGATGTAACCACAATTAAGATGGAATAAAGAGAGGAATGAATAGGTGATATGGAAGATAAAATTATGGAAAATAATGAATCTGAAAAGAAGATGGAAAGAAAACAATTAGATCACAAATATACTTAGGGAACTCAGCGATTCCACAAAGCACAAGAATATCCATATCATAGGAGTCCTAGAAGCAAAAGAGCAGGAAAAAGGTACAGAAGGTTTATTTGAACAAATTATAGCATATAGCAGAGAATTTCCCTAATCTGGTGAAGGAAACAGGCATTTAAGTCCAAAAGGCACAGAGAACTCCCCTCAAAATAAACAAAAATAGATGAACACCAAGAGATAACATAGTGAAATTAGCAAAATAAATAGATAAAAAAAGAATTTGGAAAGCAGCTAGGGACAAAAGGTCCTTAACCTACAAAGGTAGATAAAAAAGGTTAGCAGCAGATCTGTCCATAGAAAATTGGCAGGCCAGAACAAAAGTAGCATGAGATATTCTACATGCTAAATGGGAAAAATATGTGGCCAAGAATACTATATCCAGCAAGACTGTCATTCAGAATATAAGAGATAAAAAGTATCCCAGAGAAGCAAAACCTAAATGAGTTCGTGAAGACTAAACCAGCTCTGCATATATTAAAGGCGACCCTCTGAGCAGGAAAGAGACACCA